TAAGGAAGAAGTCCAAGCTGCACTGACAACACTGGCAAAAAAAAAACAATACTCAAGGAATTGATGTAATACCAATGAGATGTTTCAACAAGAAGGTGCAACACCGAAAATGCTCACTCATTTATGCCAGTGGACTTGGAAGACAGCTACCTGACCAACTGACCGAAAGAACTCCATGTATGTGCCCATCCCAACGAAAAGTGACCCAACAGAATGCAAGCATTGTTGAACAATAGCATTAATATCACATGCAAGTAAAATGATGCTGAAGATAATTTCAACACTGTTGCAGCAGTAGATGGGCAGGGAACTGCCATGCAGGCAATCTGGATACAGAAAAGGACATGAAATGTGTGATATCATTGCTGATGGCCATTGTGGCTGAAAGGGAATTAAAAAAAAATCCTGACAATTGGACCAACATAATAAATGGAGAAGATATTGACATTGACAAGGGCTTCATTTTACTTGGATTGATAATCACTACATTAGAAGTAACAGTAAATAAAGACACTGGACAAATCTGCCGCAGAATCTGTCTGTAAATCATTGAAAAGTAAAGATACCGCTTTGAGGAGTAAGGTGCATCTGCCTCAAGCTACCATCTTTCCAGTGGTCTCATATGCATGTGATGCTTGGACAATGAATAAGGAAGACTAAAGAAGAATTGATTCCTTGAATTATGGCATTGGTGAATATGATAGTTAAGGTTTATTGTGCCAGCCTGGCCGATAAACACGTGGGCTTAATTGAAGATTGGAGAGAAAATGGCTCGGAGCCTCGCCTTTCTTGTTCTCTGATGGTCAGACCAGGCTGCAGCTGCCTTAACTAGTTCTCTGCCTCAGCCGGCAAGGCTCACTTCCTGTGAGAGATCCCTGAGGAAAAGCCACATGAACCTACCCTGATGCAGCCCTGGGTGCTGGAGCAGCCGCGTGGAGACCCCTGCCAGTGCTGAGATGCTTACCTGCTCACTGATTTGGCTTTCCTCCTGCAGTTGGCATTATTGCGTGTCTTTTGTAAGTTTGAAGAGAACTTTGTAGATCGGTGTTGGACTTATAGGCTTGGACTGGACTGGGTTTCTTAATGTACACTTACCTTTTATATAAAACTCTCTCTTTATACATCTGAGTTTCTGTGGATTTGCTTCTCTAGTCTACCCAGACTAACACAGTGAAGAATATATCCAATAATATACCACGGACTTCCAGAAGAACAAAAAAAAACACATCTTAGAAGTATAGCCAGAGCATTCCCCAGGAACAAGGACAGTGGGACTGTCTCACTTGCTTTGCACCTATCACCAATAGGGGTCAGTCTCTGCAGGGCATCATTCCTGGTAGAGGTTGAGCTCTAACCAGCAAGACCCTCAGTGAGACGAATTGGCACAGTGGCCGCAGGACCAGGCAGTGCCTCATTCTGTTGAGTCAGAACCTCAACTTCTTTCTGTACTTTAGTAGCCCCTTGGGGATATTTTGTTGTATTTCTTACATTGCATTATTTCTTTCATTGTATTTTTTGCTTGTTTTTTTTTTCTTTCATATCTTTTTCCACTAGTCATGAGCTTCTTGGAGGAAAGGAACGTCTTGTTCATCTTTTTCGCTACCAGGCGCTAACATACTCTCAGCATGCAGCGACACTGGTTAAATGAATGGATGAGTGCATGAATGAAGGCATGAATGAATCAGTACCGGCAATGCATCAGTTGCAGAAGCAAGCAGCTGCTGTTTCCGGGTCTCCTGTTTAGAGGAAATGAAAACTCCAGCCCACTGGATCACTTGATTCCAAGTCATCGTGAATGGATAGGACAGTGTAAAAACTGCTCCCTATGGTCTCCAAGGTTGTCCATTTTCTCACGAGCAGACAGTGAGCCATCCGACCCTCAGCCGGCAGGGCCCCAGGGCTCCACAGAGGATTCTTAAAGATCTCTTCTCAGCAGGGGAGCCAAGGGAGGTCCAGTGTTTCCCTCCTTGCTAGATGCTGGCAGCTCCTGGGTGATTCCTTCACAATGTCACTGATACTGCAGAGCCATACCGGGGCCTGCATGTCACTCCCCAGAAGGGAAGGTGCCCTAGGATCTTGTTGCCTGTTGAAAGCTAGGAGGCAGAAAAGAGCTCAGAGCGAATGCGACCCTTTTGACGGCCCACCCACCCCTCCCTTAAGCGAGGGTTGTTAGCACATTAGAGCTATCTTTGTGTTGAGTTCCTGGGTCAGGGGGAAAGAAGATTTCGCAAAGTGAGAAACCGACCTGCACGATACCACGGAGCTGGACTGTATAACTGAAGATGGAAGGGGAAAGCTGCTGAAGTTTTCCGTTTAAAATACTGGGTATTAACAAATGTCTAAAACCTGTATAAATAAGGCTGTGAGGATAGCGTGCTGTTCCTAACCCGGAGGACCCTGAGGACCCAACCTAGGCCGCGAGGACTAGAACTGTCCAGGATTGAAGGGCAGCGGCTAATAGCAGGGCTTAAAGACAAAGGCCGGGGCCTTCTGGAGATTCGTTGGTCCTAAGTATCCACGAGCCTTTCAGAAAAGTTCAAGAACAGGCGATAGACATTCAGAGGGAATGTGTGCATTTGTGCCGACGCTGCTACTACTGCTGCACCTGCGCCTGCTCCGGGGAAGAAGTGATTTGCAAACAGACACTGGGTTAATGCTATTGTTGGAACCTAATTTACTTGATTAACACCTCCCTGACTATCCCAGGATGCAGATTTTAGCGGTAAGCAGAGGGACCTAATTGGACCTAAAAGTTGAAAGCAGATGCTGTCCCTGTGGCTCTGATTTGTTTAGAGGAAATGAAAACACAAACTCACGGCCATCGAGCTGATTCTGACTCACAGTCACCCGACAGGGCAGAGTCAAACTGCCCCCTGGAGCTTCGGAGACTGGATCTCCACGGAAGCAGCCAGCCTCGTCTGTCTCCCACAGAAAGACTGATGGGTTTGACCTGCCAACCTTGCAAGAAAGGCCTGACCCACAGCACCACCTCTCTGAGGAACTTGGAGAGCACCAGGCAGCTGTAGTCAATATTGGCCGTCGGGATGAATTCAGGGTGGGGCAGGCGAGAGACAGACCAGTCCTTGGTGAAAGGCAGGCCCCACTCTTTTCCCTTTGGAAATTTTCTACTCCTTCTTGAAAAGCTCAGTTTCAATCTAAACCCAAGAAGCTGGGCTTTCTAGTCTCTGGGTGAAATGCGTGTGAACATCCGAAAAAGACATGAAAATTGCCAGATGATTTCCCTGTGTGGTTCATTTGGTCTACAGCTAGCTCGAACACCGAGTCGTGACGTGTGATGATCCACCTCACTCATCCCATTTCCGCTCCGGCCAAATCAGCTTCCACTTTTCAAAAGAGGAGTCCTGCTGGCGCGGTGGGGTAAGCATGGGCTGCTAAACACAAGGTCGGCGGTTCAAACCAGCAGGCATTCTGCAGGGGAGAAATGAGGCTGACTGCTCCGGTACGGATGCACAGACTCAGAAACCCCGTCGACTAGGGTCCGTCAGAGTTGGAACGGACTCCCAGCAGTTGTTTTCCAAAAAGCTGCCTGGGAATGAAATCTGCATTGCAACGTCTGAGCTTGAACGCCTATCCTTGCCAACTTAGACCAACAACCACCCCCCAGAACCTGCCTCCGCTGTCTTCTGGCTTCCAAAGCCCTGCGGGCCACGCTATCCCAAAGCTGTTGGGACATTGAGGGCAAGTGTGCTAGCTCAGCAACAAAGACCAAGCCTATTTGTCTTCTCAGACACATCGTTTAACTCGCTTGCATTCTGGAAGATCAACACCAGAATCTTCCTTTCCTGCTTCCACCTCCCCCCTTCACCTCACTAGCTTTTAAGCGGGGTCTGTAGCTGTCACTGGGATCATGTTGAATCTTTAGAGGCTTTCTCTGGAGGCTCTCTTCAGGAGCCTCGAATAGTCCCTTAGCAGCAAGACTAAAATCTACACTCCTTGCATAACACAGCCCACCCGTGATGGGGGTGGCCTGAATCATCTTTCCCAGCTTAAACATCTCACTTTCTTCCCACAACCATGTACAAGTCACACCAAACGATTCCTGTTAACATGCCCTGTGCCCCCTCCCTTCAAATGGTTTTCACATCCTATTACGGTTCCTACTCCTGCCAGGTCTGTACTCTTACCTCACGACATTCAACACGCCTCGTGCTGAGCCTGCAACACAGCAGGTCTCATTATGAATTCCTTCTTGCTCAAACTCCTTAGAGACACAATGTGAGGCAACAAACAAACAAACAAACAAACCTATTATCCCTTCGGAGGCAAGGATAGTGAGACTTCGTCTTACATACTTTGGACATGTTGTCAGGAGCTAGCAATCCATGGCGAAGGACATCCTGCTTGGTAGAGGGGCAGAGAACATGAAGGCCCTCACGCAGAGGGACTGATGCCGTAGCTGTAACAGCGGGCTCGGGCACAGGAACAATTGTGAAAGTGGCACAGGACCGGTCAGGGCTGCGTTCTGTTGTGCATCGGGTTGCCATGGGTTGGAGCCAAGTCCAACTCAATAGCACCGACCAACGACAAGAACAAGAATCCCCTCTAAATGCTTACAGTCCAGACCCCCATCTCAGTTTTCTCCCCAATAGCGGGGCTAGACAATGAAGTCACAGAAGCCAATGGGCTCTGATGATAATACTAATTAAAACAGTGGTCGCCTGGAAGGGAGCACACTAGAATACCATCTATTTTGACTGGGGTGTTAGATGATCATGCATTTACCAAAATGCATTAGCCAAAAAAAAAAAAATGCATTAGCCAGGCTTGCGACATATTGTGCTATACCACCGGACAATGAATAGCTTTCCACCGCGATGTGCCCAAGATGATCTAGTAAAACATGGACAGATAACAGTTAGAACATTTTCCAAAACTGATGTTTTCATTTTCATGTTTTCTGTCTCATTTTATTGTAGAGTATATAAAGAGACCCACAGAATCTATAAAGGCGTTCATCACATTGGCCGTGCATATCTTACCCCAAGTAGGACAACTGAGATCAGGGGCGCGGGTGGCAGTGCAGGGAATGCGGTGAGTAGGCAGGCACGGGCATTGCTTTACTGGCACAATGGGCATTCCTTCGCTGGCAAAACTAGGCCTCCCTGGAGAGGAGCAAGCCTGGTAAAGCCACAGAGGACCATTTACTGCCAGGCTTCATTACAGACCTCCTTCTGAGCGAAAGAGGGAGGCACAGAAACCAGCCCAAGCGCTCTCTGCCATCGAGTCGATCGGATCCCAACTCCTCACGACTCTGTAGGACAGAGTGGAACTGCGCCTCTGGGTTCCAAGACTGGAACGCTCTCCGGGAGTAGAGCGTCTCATCTTTCTCCCAAGGAGCAGCTGGTGGTCTCCAACCGTTGACCTTGCCGTGGGCAGCCCAATGTGTAACACACTACACCACCAGGGCTCCTCTGGCCAGCAGCTACCACCCTCCAATTCTTTTTTTTTTTTTTAACCACCCTCCAATTCTAAAGAGCAGGCTGAACTGTGTGCCCTGCACAAGTCTCTCAAAGGAAGACGGTGGAGGATTCTTCCCAGGGCCTCTGACCCAGCCAGGCCTCCGGAGCAGCTGAGACAGCGAGGTGTGGACTCGTTTGTTCGCAGAGCTGCATGGAGACGTGTTGATCGGTGTGGTGGAAGGCAGGCACCACTGTAAACCCAAGGTGAATGCCGCAATCCCCATCTGGCCCAGTAGGTCCCAGACAGCACAAAACACGGCCTCCTTAATTCAGTGTGTCGAGGCTGGATTTACAGGCCACTAGGAGACTCCGCAGGGCAGTTGCCTGCCTGAATACCCCCTTCACTCTGCTGGTTGGAGGCCAGAGAGGACAGACTGACTTACACTTCCAACAGAGTCAGTAAATCCAGAAGCGGCACCCTGCCTAATCCATGAGACTCAATATGGTTTCCAATAACCTAACCAAGACCCAATCTAATGGCTGCTTAGACAAGAGTGACATCTATTCTTTTCGTTCGCGAAGTCCGAACGTGCTCTCCTCTGTAAAGTTATCCGTCTCCTCCGTTCCTTCCGTGTATTTGCTCTGTCACCTCTAAGGTGGTGTACCTCTTTGATAGGTTCCCATGTGGTCACTTGCAGGTAACGAAACATTGATTACTATGAGAAAGAAAGAGAAAATTGCTTTAAGGACGGTTGCTCATCGCTGGTGCGCTGGTGCAACCAAAGTCCTGCCCTGCCGCACAAAAACAAAGAGAAACAAACGGAGTGCGTGTTTGTAGAAACAAAAGAGTTTCTTACTATTCCAGACAGCAGATTAAAAAATCGGGTTTTGGAGTGCAAAGATTTGGATGTCAATAATCCTTAGTACTAGGCAGGCTGTCTGTCTGTCCCTGAGCAACAGAGCAAATGTTATATATAAATGCGGTGGTACTGATGGCCACGGATAATTTTCCAGCACACTGGACACGTCTTAGTATATTTAAGGGAACTGCAAAGGCACTGACTACAGAAGATGTGGCCACATTCTGTAGAATAGATGCGTCGTCTGCTTTGCTCAATCTCTGAATACCCATCCATGCAAATGCGACACCAGATAGAGCCAGGTGGTGGGCAACTTGAAGTTTCTTCTCCCAGGGCATTGTGGTGAGCACCGTTGATCACATAGACATCTCTGTCCTGTATCTGCCCCTCCTCATCACAGCTCACCATGCAGTCACCTGCTTGACCTTCACGTGGTTTAGTGTTTCTCCTTGGTCTCCTCCTCGCTCTAGTAATCACAGCAGAGTCATTGTGAGTTAGGTCAATCACTGCGGGCTCTAAAGGTTCACAGGTGAGGTCAACGACTTCCTCCCCATCGCTTTCCGTGAGTTCTATCAGTTCTGTTTCCAAGACCATTTCAGGGGTTGGGTCTCTTTCCCCAGCTGGCTTGGGGGTTTGTCCACCAGAGCACACTCTTGGATCCATTGCGCTCCCGTGGATCCAGATGAGTTATGCCCAAATGTACAATGAATGTGAAAGTCGTCAAGGTCTCATAACTGTTTCTTAAGTCACTCTCTGGTTTACATTAGAGGTTAGAGCCCAGATTTTCTTGGACTTTTGAACTCAGATCCTGGTGCCAGTCCCCTGTCTTCACCTCTCCCAGGGCTGTGCTCCCACGGAGGAGGAAATCTTCTGGGAGCCACTGATGAGATGACTCAATCTGAGTTTTCATTCTGAAAAAGGTGAGTGGAAAGTCGAGCATTAGTAGTATTTAAAGTAAGATTAATAGTAATAAATCATTGAATATATTAGGAAACGATGGTAGTGCTGTTGGGCAAGTGTTTGACTGCTAACTACAAGGTTAGCAGTTCAAACCCACCAGCTGCTTTGTGGAAGAAAGATGAGGCTTTTCTCCTCCAGTAATCAAAACTCACTGCCATTGAATTGATGCCCACTCATAGAGACCCTATGTGGCAGGGTAGAACTTCCCCTGTGAGTTTCCAAGACTGTAATTATTTATGGAAGTGGAAAGCCCATCTTTTGCCCAAAGAGCAGCTGGTGGTTTTGAACTGCTGACCTTGAGGATCACAGCCCAACATGTAATCACTATAGTACCAGGGCTCCTCACATAAGGTCACTGCAAGCAGGAATTAACTTGATGGCAGTGGCTTGTTTGTGAAATAGCGGTATATGTATACATTTATTTATATACAATACCTACTGAACTTTTTAAGTCATTACACGTTTTACCAAAATCTGGAGACCATTGTTCTTGCGGCTGAGTGAGTGCCCCTCCTTACTCCACTTCCTGATTGAACTTGTGGGGAGAACCTCCAGGGTATTTACTTAAAGAGAAGGACAACATAAAACACCAAGAAAGGGTCATGCTGTATCCATTATGGGAACCTCAAGGAAGTACTTATTTTGGGGTAAAGTAAAAATAGAGAAACGTTTCTAATAAGAAACGAACCACTGTACACACTGAGGTGCAGCTTGCCCAGGATTCCTTTTGTAGCACAAGCAAGAGTGGCGTTTCAGAGAATCTCGTCTTAGATTCAGTTCTGGGAAAGAGGAGGTGGAGTTTGAGCATGAGCCACAGAGGGAGATATGGTTTGAATCTGGGCTGTGTGCATTTGGGGCATGTGACTTGGAAAGTTATGTAAGTTCTCAAAACAGTAGCATGTAAACCCGTCATTAACAACAACTTCTGGAGGAGCCCTGCTGGAGGAATGGGCAGCACCTGGAGCTGCTAACCACAAGGCCAGTGGTTCAAACCCAGCCATGGCTCCTTGGGAGAAAGATGAGGCTGTGTACCCATAAAAACAACTTCTGTATCATATGCTTTTCCATTTTTTGGTATATGAAAGCCAGGTTTGATGAGCATATAGGACAGCAAGTAGAATAAGAGGGTCAGGGGGAGAGGGGTACAGGGGTGACAGTGGGGTCAAAGGGAGACTATGTCAAGGAGTCCATGTAGAAAAAGAATGTTTGGAAACTGATTGTAGTAGCAATCTTACTTGATATGATTGAAATATGGAATGATAGGATATATGTAATAAATCCCAACTAATAAAAAATAGATAAATAAAAGCAAAACCAGCTTCTTTTATAATTAAAATAATAAGGTATGTAAATGTTTTTGTATTTAAATCACAGTGAAAGGAATGACTACCACCTTGGGTGCCCAGTTCTCCAATTTTTCCCAGAGGCAACCACCATTGCCTTCTTACTGTGTTACCTACCAAAGATATTCAGTATAAGACATTTTAAAATAGAAACTCTGCTTCACATTAAGACTCGTGATCAGAAACTGAGCTCACAATCACCAATAACATCAATACTAGCATTAAGCTACATTTGGCGCTTTTAGATAAATATATTTTTAATAAATCAAACACTTTATTCTATTTATATTTAAAAAGAAAAAAGAAAACAAAAAGCCCGAACCTCAGAGGAAGTTGTGAGGACATGAAAGTCAAACCCAAACAGGCAGTTTCTAGTGCTAATAGAAGACTTATTAGCAAAGTTTCAAGGTCAGCATGGTCAACACACAAAATCAGTTCAGTTTCTGTGTTAGACAGGGTTCTCTAGAGAGATAAAACCAAATTGCTGATAATTTAATATATTTATAAAGATAATTAGATATATAACAAGAAATGAACTGTTAAATCATATACATATACATATAAAAGAAATAAACGGTTAATTAGAAAGCACTATAAATAGCTTAGTGCAACTCACGTCCGTGAGAGAAAGTTGAGAGACTAGCAGGCCTTCAAGTCTCTGTCTGATGCCAGATCTTCCTCTATTTCTAGAGAGAGCTAGGCTATGTCAGCACAGCAGCCAATCACAAGGCAGGTCATCAACTGCCAGCCAGGTCACCAACCGCCAGTCCCCAGCTCCAGCGATATCTTAAAGGGACCTCAACTTATAGCGACACAGTCCGCAGGCTTGGCGTCCCACAGGTAGTGTAGCCTTTAAATTGAGGCACAGGAGAAGCAAGGAAGCCGCACACTGGTCCGATGATCAAAGAGCAAGAGACAAGAAAGGCGAGGCTCACCAAGCCATTTATCTCTCTCCCCTTCAGTTAATCCCACTTGTGTTTATGGGCCAGGCTCGCACAATAAACTATCTCAATTTCTATACACCGGCAGAGAAAAATCTAAAAGAGGAATTAAGGAGAGAATTCCATTTATAATAGCATTTGAGAAAATAAGATATCTAGGAATAAATCTAACCAGGGACATAAAGGACTTACAGAATCACAATTACAAAACACAGTTGAAAGAGAGTGAGGAAGAATTAAGAAAGTGGGGAAATGATGCACTTCGGAAAGGGAGATAATAAGTGGTAGTCAGGATCTAGAGAAATTGGAACCCTCATCCACTGGCCACAGGGATTTGAAACAGTACAGTGGCTTTGGAAAAGTCCGACAGCTCCTCCGAAGGTCAGACACAGTTACCACAGGACCTGCGATTTGGCTCTTAGACGTATATGCATCTATAGCTAAGAAAAATCAAAGCATATGTGTACACAGAAAGTTGTATAGTAGTATAATTCACATGAGCCAAGTGGAAAGAATCCAAATGCCCATTACGTGATGAATGGATAAGTAAAGTATGGTAGGCCATGCTACGAGTATTATTCAGGAATGAAAAGGGATTAAGTACTGATACATACAACAATGATGACTCCTGAAAATGTGTGAAGGGACAGAAGCCAGTTATAAAAGACCCCATACTCATCGGATTCCATCTACAGGAAATAAGTAACCAGAATATGTGAACTGATCGAGACAGAAAGCGACCTTAGTACCTTAGGGCTACGGAATTGGGGATTCCAAAGGAATATTCCCCCTTTAGTTATGCTGTATATTTTTCATTTTGTTGGTCGAGAATATACACAGCAAAGCACACCAACACAACCATTTCTAGACGTACAATTTAGTGCATTGATTACATTCTTTGTCATGGAATAACCATGCTCACCCCTTTTCTGAGCTGTTCCTCCCTCATTAGCATAAACTCATTGCCCCTAAGGTTTCTATCTATTTTTCCAAGTTGCTGTTGTCAATTTGAGCCCAATAGATAGTTCTTCAAGAACACAATGCTCAAGGAAGACCTGTTTTTGCTAGCTCGGTTTTTTGTTTTGTTTTTATTTGTTCAGTTTTATGAAGATTTTATGGGATATATTTAAGGGAATGGTTTCATCCTGGTCCCATGGCTCCAGAAAACTTGGAGTCTATGAAAATTTGAAATTCTGTTCTGCATTTCCCCCTTTTGGGCCCATAGTCTTCTATGGCATTCCTTATCAAAATGTTTAGTAACGGTAGCCAGGTAGCCAGCTGTGTATATTCTCAACCAACAGTTAGCACACATTTCCGATCATCTTTCCATTTCTGACTCTCCTAGCTCTGTTGTTCCAGGTGAATAGGGATCAATTTTGTGTTAAGTGGCCACTAGCAAATCTTCAAGACCTCAGGCAGTCCACATCCAAGTAGGAAGTAGAATAGAAGCATATAGCACATTTTCAGACTAATTAACTGGGATGTCCCATAAACCCATGACTCTCAATGTCCAAACTGAAGAAGCAAACCCCAGGATGTGCTAGGTTGTCCAGAAGCAGCCTCAGCAGCTATTCCTTTTTCTTATGTTGCTGCAAATACAACTATCACACAACTTTTACCAATGCGACATTTTCAGGTACACAATTTAGTAACAGCAAGAGGCAGCAGTGCAACATTACCCTTATTCAATGCAATTTTCCCATCACCATTAGCCCCCTTTATGACCTCCCCTCCCTTTCTTGGTAACCACTAATAAACTTTGGTCTCTATACATTTGCCTTTTCTTGACTTTTTATAGACTTGAGATCATATAATATTTGCCCTTAGAAGACTTGCTTAACTTGTATTTTACTCAGGATAATGACTTCAAGTTCCATCCATATTGTAGCATGTATCAAGACTTTATTTTTCCTACTAAGTAGTATTCTATTAAAAATATGTACAACATTTTGTTTACCCACTCACCTGTTGATAGGCATTTAGTGACTAATCTGCAATGAACATTGGTGTACATGTCTCTGTTTAAGTCTTTCGAATCTTTTTTAGTATGGAATGGAATGCCTGGTCATAGTTCTAAAGGAGTCCAGGTGGCATTGTTAGGTAAGTATTGGACTGCTCACCACAAGGTCTGTGGTTCAAACCCACCAGCTGCTCTTCAGGACAAAGTGGAGACTGTCCTGAAAGGCTGCCACCCAAAGAGCAGATGTGCTCCCACTAAGATGTACAGACTCGGAAACCCTGTATAGGTAGGTTCACTGGGTCAGAATCAACTCAATGGCAGTGCTTTGGGTTTGTGGTCGTTCTAGGAGCCCTGGTAACACAATGGTTAAGCAACCAAACAATCTGAACCACCAGCCCCTCCACAGAAAGATGTAGCAGGCTGCTTCCATGAAGATTACAGCCTTGGAAACAATGCGGGGAGTGATGGTCTGTCATTGTGGTTTTGACTTGCATCTCTCTCTCTGATGATTAATGATGCTGAGCATCTCTATGTGTGTTTGGTGGCCATTGAAATGCTCTC